GAGCAGTACATTCAACGCTAGAAGCTATACATAATCTCCCACATAGATAATTACCTTCAAATCTGTACATTTTTACGTGTTTGCAATGTTCGCCGGACATTGAGAGTATGAAGCGCTTTTTTCCACCAAAATCAGTTGTTGCATGCGAAAAAGTTTATCATTAATAACATCATCATATCGTCATCGTTTTCACACAAAATGATTTGCTGTCTTTATTATCGTCGATTGCTCGGTATCTTTCATACAATTCTTGTTATACGCTTTCATTTCTTTTTTATTTTTTATTAAGCAATTCATTCATTGTAATTGTAATGGTCGTGTTTTGTCATAGTTGTTATTGTGTAGCCGTCGACAATGTGTTTATTGCCGCAACTCATATAGACAAAAAGGAACATATTAATAAAAGCAACAGCAATAAGAGCACATTTCGCTCGCAATCGCACATATTCATTCGCGAAACGGACGGACGGACACAAATAAAAACGCAAATTTCTTTTCAATATTTTCCGTTTTTCATATTTTCATTTTTCACCGGCTACATGGCCAGCAGCAACAGCTAGTAGTGACTTGGCGGCTCAACGGCTCGTCTCGTCTCGTCTCGTCTCGTCTCATCTCGCTGTCATCGTCGTCGTTGTCGTCGTTATCTTAGTTATTGTTTTACAATACACTACAGCAGTAATCGACAAAAAAAAAAAAAAAAAATCATTAAATAAACAAATTTTCGTCAAAACGATTTTTAAAATAATATCGAAATTATTAGAACAAAAAATATATATATGTATATATGCATATTTATAAGAACGTGAAAAAAAAAATTGCAGGAAATTTAAATAATAAAAATTATATAAAATAGCATGAGTAAATAGATGCTTGTGTATATTCGCGTATGTGTGTTGAAGAAAATATAATTAAGAATTTAGAGAAGCAAAGAATTTCATACACCGTTGGTTTTTATTATTCGCACATGATTTTGAAAAATAAAACAAGAAAAATATTAATTTACTTTTATCGCCTGAAATATCATAAACATTCAAAGCCGTCGGTCGCGAAAACATTATGAAAAAAATAACCGAAAATAAAATGAATTTTTTAAATGAAATCTTTCTTTCACCACCAGCGTGCGTGCGTGCCGGCGTGTGTGCGTGCTCGTATGCTTAGATGTGTAATTGTTTACAATTGAGAGTCTTTTACACCTTCAAAATAAATTCAAAAATTAGAAAAAAAAAAATTTTGAAATTTTGATGTGTTGTTTAATGCATTGAATGTGGACGAAAGTGTTTCCCCATAAAATTAAATAAAAAGATGAATAATAAAATTTGTTCATAAATATTTTGTGTGTGTTTGTTACGAAGAAAACAAAAATGTAAATAAATAGTTAAAACTTAAAAATAAATAAAAAATAAGAAATAAATCGTTTAGCGAAATAATTCTTAACGAATTGATTGGTTTTGAAATACTTTACAGGTAAGAGCAAAGCGAAAAGATCATCAAGCTTACATCAAGGCAACTTCAAAAAAACAAAACGCAAATGAGAAAATTATATTCCGCTGTGGCCGAATCTTTAATGCACATCACTGTTATCCTAAAAAAGTCCGAAAATGAGGAGGAAACTATATTTCCATACTCTATAGTATTAGGCGAGAGTCACTCGGCTAACACTTTTTTGACTTTGCAGAATGAAACTGAAAATTTATATCGTGTATCTGTTGTAGTTTATGAGTAACAAGAAGAAGAAGAAGAAGAAAAACCCCGAAAGGTAAAGGCATTTCCATTTTCTATCGCTTTGAAGGCACGTCCGCTGCGTCCTGGACAGACGGACAGTAGAAGAGACTAACGCGGGCAGACGCTTAGGCTCATTCCATGTGTGACTCTGGCTAGGAATGTGTTTACTGTATGCGGTTTTTACAAACGAATAAAATTTTAATACACTGTGGTATTAAGTAGGCGTGCCCACTTTTTTCCATTTTTCTACAGTTGCTTTCGCATCGATTAGAGGATAGTTGTTGGCAAGTAATGATCCAAAGGAGCAATTTTCCTCCCTTTCGAAAACAGGGATGTATTCGGCTCACTTGGTACTCTAAGCGTATCCTGCGACCGATTCTGCTCACCCTATATTTGCCAACCGCTCAATTTTTGCGGCCAAGACTCTTTTACGACAGACATCGCACAGACGACAGACGGAAAGGTGGGCGCATTTTGACATGCATTAGTTAATTTCTTATTCTCGCCTTTGCAATATTCTGCAGATGTTAAGATCACTCAAAATTTGTTTTAAAAAGATCAAAACAGAAATTTGAATTGACTCTAAGACATTATGCAGGTATTACGCGTTGCCTCCCAACCAAAAGGAGTTTGAAAACCTTTAAGCTCCAAGATTTCAACCCGATTAGGGTTTTTGTGCTGAAGACGCGTATGAATTGGCCTATTTATGAGTAAAGCAGCCAAGAACATTACTAAATATTTGCAAAATTTTTCCTCTTCACGTATCCATCCAAAGCACCGCGTATAAAATCTTTTGCACGATAGCCAGGCATGAGAGGGGCAGGCACTTATTATACAAGTTAAGGAATATGATGATAGCACAAATTCGCTAATAAATATTCGCAAAATTTTCAGCCACATCGAGCTGTAATTGCGATCTGATTCAAGCAGAATTGATCAGCGTGTCTTTGGGAAAGTGAAAAAAATTGAGTATCGGGCTGTCACTAACTATGCCTTATTGAAAAGCCATGCCCTTAGGCAACTAAGCATGAATAGAAGGGTGTTTACGAGAACTCTACGGTTCGGGCGCTCAACAACTGCAACCACCTAATATAATGTCACCCAATTTCACGAAATGGTATTAAATGACTGTCGAATTGCAGTTGGAGAGATGGCAGAGATTATGAACATGTCTCGAGGAAGAGTTTTCCATATATTGAACCGATCGCAGCATGAGAAGGCTTACGGCACGTCGGGGGAGGCTTTGCTCAAATACTCTCCTTAGTGAAGATATCCGTCCGCAAGCGTCGATTTTTCCGCAGCTTGAAGTTGCGCTTGGGGAATAGAAATTTCTTTCAAATCAAAAGTTCATCATTTTCATTGTTAACGATTTTGGAGAGAAAAATACAAAGTACTATCTGGCCATACATGGAAGCATCTTTGGCGAAAGCGGATAGACTTACGAGGAGACAATGCAGAAAGATAAACATAAATTTTAATTTTTTCCTTTGTTAGATCGAAAAATTGTCAAAACCTCTTGTTCAGCAGGAAACACTAGACCACCCAACTAGTTCTTCTTCTCGTTTCTTAGTAGGTGATCCTGATTACGTAGAAGATCGCTGCTTTTGAGTTATCGATGCAATCGCGAATGTTATCTCTTCTCATTGCTGCACGCAGGCCAGTAATCGTTTCCGGGCAAAACTGTGAACATTTTCTTCGATGCTGTTACTAAATTTTCAATTTATTTTATACCCACCACTGGAGGATGTATACCCCCCATCCTCATTTTGTTTTTTTTTTTTTTTTCATAACGCATGTAAGAATCATTCAGTACATTCTTGATCAGCGTGAAATTCTCAATTGATTAAGCCAAGTGTGTTTGTGTGTGCGTATGTGTGTGTGTGTGTAGCGTTTGTTGTTGGCACCCTCTTGGCCGAATATAACTTTCTTACTTGTTTATTACTTATGTTCTACTTACTACTACCTGTTTAGCATTACGATTTCAGCACTATTCGTTGTTAAATCCAACAACAAGGAGGACGAAAATGTTTCTTCACTTTTATACTTCAGTATCGGGCGGCCTTTTAAAGACAATGTTAAAGAACGCCCTGGAAACCTTGGAAACCTGGCCGTAAAAAGCAGTACACGCGAAATAGACAATATAGCTGCCTCCTTTCAGTACGGTTTTTTTTACGCGCTTTTTATATTTTGCGATTTGTTTTGTGCAACTTTTCCTTATGCCTTATATAAATTTGTATAAAGAGGGAGAGGAGTATTAGAGAAATTAAAATTTCTTAAATTGCTTCCGATCGTAATTTAATTATTTATTTTGTTTGAAAATAACATTTTCGAAATTGCGTAAAACTTTGACGACTTTTTATGCAGTCTCTCGCTACGGTACAAAATAAATTTTCAATAGTATCTGGCGAAAAATAATTTATTACAGGCCGTTGTGAAGTTTCTGAATATTTTCTGAATATTTTTGTTTATGCGCGCGGCCCTTATCTATCGCACAAAAAATATTTCATCTGTACAGGGTTACCATCACTCAAAAGCCGGCTTTGTTGCGTTCGATTGAGGGAAGAGTAAGCCTGACAAGGCCGAACTTTTGGTCAATGAGAGTAAGGACAAGCCAGACGAACTTCCGTTTTGTACTTATGGGACCGACCAGCGGAGTGCGTGGGCAAGTAAATGATAATCCATAATTATGGGGAAATCGTGATAAGGACAAAACAGAGCTGTCTGACTGTTATGGAAGTGAATTATCAATTAATAAAAATGAGTTCACAATAGTAGAGCGAAGTGATCCCAGAATATTGCTAGACATAAAAAGAAGGGGAGACACATATTGGATAGATAAGTCTCGGAGACATACAAGTTAAAGTAAAATTAACTAAAATAAAGAGTAGATGATATATAATATTTGTAGAGGAAGATTTGATTTTTTTCCAAGCTACATTCCCAATAGGGCCCAAGGAAAAAGAAGTCGCTTTGGGAGGAATCCCAAGGCTGAAGAGTATACTCGAATGAATTTATGCCTTACAAGACTAAGCTGCGTTAAGCGCTCCTGAGTTTTCAAGAACTTATCAAAGAATTTGCCTCTTATCCAATGATTGTAGAGCTGGCTGTTTTAAGAGAATTGCTTATGGTCTCAGTTAAAGAGATTCATTCATTCTTGGCAGACATTTTCGTTACCAACCAACTGTACAATAAATTTTTTTAAAAACACATATATATATATAAATGCAGTGTATGCAAACTTTTCATATATATTACTTTTGTTTGCTGTTTTTTTGCAGATCGCGTGCACGTCGCTTCGTCGTATTATTTATTCAAAGACTGATTGTTAGGTAAAGTGAAAACATCGAAATCGTGAAAATTTAAAATTTGTGAATCTAGCAAAACATTAAAATGAATTAGAGTTGTTTACGTAAGTCTTGCAGAAGTGTTTTAAGAAATATGAAATTATTGGTAGTGTCATGCAATGGCACTTCGCATCAAATGTGATTGTCTTCTTCGTCTTTTTCGTTTGTCTTTTGTTTTATAATTGGTTTGTGTTCATTTGATTTTGTCCTTTATCTATGAAGTTAACACCATTTTACAATAATTTAATTATAATTTTAATTGTTATTATAAAATTATCATCGTTGTTGTTGTTGTTATTGTTATTAAACGTGTATTTAATTTGCGAACGTAAAAATGTTGTTAGCTATGCGTCGCGAAAGTGAACATCATCATCACAGTCATCAACATCTTAGTGGAAACGATACCGCAAATGTGCTGACACCGTCGCCGCTTAACGACATAACTGTACTGACAACAACAACAACAACGACAACAACAAATGGTTTTACGCCATCCAATACTTTAAATTTGTCAACCGCCTCTTCATCTACGGCAACAGATAGTCTGAATACACCTTCAACACCTTTGCTTAATTTGGGGCGTAATCCTTTACAATTTACCGCCCCACCTCCCGCACCACCACCACCACCAACAATTTCAGTTCAATCAGGACCTCAATTTGGATTTTATTCTCCGAACTCAACAGCGGCGTCATCAACTTATTTACATCATTACCCTCATACAACGCCAACGCACATCGCGGCACAAGCGGTGGATAACGCTAGTGGTAGCTACGTAGGGCAAACTTCAAATAGGGCTACGGCTACACCTTCTGCCGAGCTAGATGAATATGTCGATATATTACAAGTGCAACAGCTGTTATTGGATTCTTCGTCGTTGAATCCACAAACAGGCCATCAACAGATACCCATAACTTCCAATACAAGTATAACTAGCGCCTCTTCGATAAGCAGCAGTGAATCGCACACGAGCACTTCACAAGCACAGGTTAGTTTGCCGAAACCTCAACCTCGCCCTCGCTTAAATCTACAAAAGGCATCCGAATATGCAGCACAACATCAAGGTAAGATCTTTTTTTCTCTTCCCCACCTGAATCCCTAAGCCCACATAAACACAAAGGACTTTTTGTGACTATCTTTGCCATCTTTTATTTTTTTAAATTCCAGCTGACTCTCCGTCCTCCCGTCGTATGTTATTAGATTATCCAAATCCTTACTTGTACAGTAATCATTATCATACGTCACCGAGTGAGGATTTAGTAGCCCTTTGGTTTGGCAGCAATGGATCCGGTAAGTGTAGCTTATTTGAATTCAAACGGTCTACGAAGACCGTAAACGATTTATCAAATTTTTAATTAAACATAAAAGTGAGTTGAATGCAGTAAGGAATTGGAACCAAAATCATACTAATTTTTATATATATTTTATATACTGTGTGTGTGTGTCTTTTTTTTAATATAATTTCTTAAAATACTTATCACCTTGTCAGGTGTAATTAAGCGTTAAGTAAATTAATATTTTATGGCATATTTATATTTTAAACGTATATTTCTTTTCATATGTGCGTGTGGAAGTACGAGTGTGTAGATTACTTTTAGACAAGTGCATGTTTTAATAGGTTTTCATAATGATAGCAACATGTAGTGAAAGCCAAAAACGCAATGCAAACAACAACTGAATATAATGCAAAATTACATCCAGTCACACGCATATAAATGTAAATATTTATTTATTATTGCATATATATATATATATAGATATATGTATACATATATCTATAGTAATATACATACAGATATAGGCGTTAGTGCGTCTATGCGTCATTATTGCTTATTATTACCTAACATTAAAGTGGTAGTTAGTGCAGAGAGCGAGTGATTGCGTCATATGTAAAGTGTAAATAGCAAGTAGTTAACTTAAGCATGTAACATATAAATACGCGCATGCATTTACATAGGTGATCATATAAACTATAGGTATAGGCCTAATGGTAACCATATCAACTATTAATTTAGTCAGACGTCATATCAAAACCTATAAATCGTTCAAATATTCAACTAAAAGCTCACAATGCATGTTTGTGTTTGTGTTTACATATGTGTGTCTGTTTGCATCACTCTCTGTGTGTGTGTATGTGTGTATGTGTGTATGTCAATTCGTTTGTAATTTAAGGAGACATTTCATTATAAGAAATCATAAGAAACTTTTATAAGTGTATTAAGGTTTATGTTTATACGTGTGTGTTTTTATTGCTTTTCAAAAGTTTAGGCGTTCTATTAAACCAGGCTTTATTTCAAATTCAATGGGTTTATATACTGCGACATAAATTTGTCAAAAGCACTGCTTTTTATAACACGTAAATAATTAAAAAAAATAAATTAATTTAAAAATTTTTATTATAACGATTTCTACTTTCGTCTGTTTCTCGTCTGCTGCTCTTAAAGAATTCAAATAGATTTTCTTCTTGCATGATCTTTACAAAACGCCTAATACATGTCTAAACTGTATCCGAAAAATAAGGCGAATTTGTCTCAAGAGTCTTTAAATTGGTAGCATTGTGACAGACATCTATATCAAATTTCGCCTCAGAGACGTTGTTAAAAAGAGCTTCTGAAAGAGCGTAGAAAAAGAGCTTTTTACGATTTTTATAATACGTGATTTTGTCGAGCAAAGAACTCTGTACCCGTCATGAAACGCATAAGCAGACCTGTATCGTGCAAATATCGAGCCAAGACCGAGAAAACAGCGCCAAGAGTCAAGATGATGTTGACACTTTTCTTCGATTATCGCAGGATTATATATCGGGGAACAAGAAATGGATGAATTCCCTCCGCCGGCCAAAATTGTTTGCAAGGAATTTGTTCTGTAAGTTATGAAGATGATGGGGTGATTTCTCCGACACAGTGCTGTACTGATTATGCCATTTTCTATCAGTTGTGGTTTTTTGTTTACTCCTAATAATACATCACTCTATACATCGGTTCATTACTCCTGCGAGTAGAAAGAAACTCTTATTCGGAAATGACATGGTTAGTTCAAAGATATCACAAAATTTCGCTGCTTTTTTTTATAGAAGAATTGGGCTTTCGAAAAAATGCTTTGGTTTCTTCAACGACAGGCGCTGCACATCTTTTTCTTTTTGAGTTTTGCAAACAGACGTTAGTGGCTGTACAACAGGTAGACGGAAAATGCGATGAGTCAGACAACAATGCGAACATCATTTCATCAATTTTGTCATTGTAATCACCGGCCTACCGGAAGATGCATTTTTTCCGTGCGAGTCATTTGCAAAATGGTTTTCTTAGGACATCACGGTTTGAGCTCATTAAGAGGGTCATCGATAGCGGCGTCGCTAACGACGCCATTTCAGTTTAACATGTCATCGATAAGCTACTGTTTCCGCGAGAAAGGATTGTCATAGCACTTCTTAAGTCAACGCTATGTACGCCACTGCAAAACAAAAGGCTTACGCATAATAATATGAATATTCTCGTAGAGATGACATCAACGTGATACCTGCGTGTTTTATTGACGAATTTTTTATCTTATCATGTAACATATGTTCTCGATTGACGCAAATACTGGAACCAGTTCATGCATAATGGCCCGCCTGCGTCATTGCCACATATCCAAATCTACTTATATGCGTACTCCGGCGACTGGTCACTAGTCAGAAGAGAAACACAACCAAGCTAAACAATTTTACAGTTACACAGGGATACGTCATTACACCGCTTCGCTTAATGCAGTTATTCATAAGATGGCTTTGCAAACTTAGGCGTTATTTAGGAAGTGATCGAAAGAATAGTCCGATTTGAACGATTTTCAATTGAGTTCATTCTTGGGTCAAGGCACGTCAGTGGAGTAAAAAGCCTCAAAAATTACGACCTGTAGTTTGTAGCTTAGATCGATGCAGAAAATGATTCACAAATTGATTTCGAATCGATATGTATGATAAAACGTGAATGTATCTCAACTCCTGTTGGATGTTGTATCGGTATACCACGTGCCATAAGTGATGTGAAGTTTACAAATACCCCTTGGCTGTGGTGTGTCTTTGGTGTTATTCAGAGCACGAATGTTAGCGTAACAGCAATTGGTCCGCAGTTGAAATCAGCCCCTAGTCCAGAACAAATTGAAATTTTTACCTACAATTAGAGAAGAATCTCAAAATAAGTTAGATGTCAGAGGCGACGTTGTCTATATCTTAATAAATTCCTTCTAATTTGAATTGGTCTCTTCGGAAAGCACTCTTAGGTAATCATCGAATTAAATTTAAGGAAAAAAAGCAAGTATGAACTGAAACCTTATCAATCATGACTGAGTTCCTATATGAATACATTACTGAGACATTTTAGCGAATGGAACAAAAACCGCAAAAGAAAGTTGCTTTCATCGTATACTTAAGAGTGGTACAAATTAAGGAATGATGAGCGTTTAGTTTCGAGTTTCTTTCAAATTCTTCTCCCATATTAATTAGTTTCATTGCATAAGTTTCCTTAGTCTCTCTCCCTCTCTCTCTCTCTCTCTCTCTTTTTATTTTGTATGATGGTCCTTGTTTTATTTATAAATCCCATTGGCTTGGTCGCCTTACTTCGCGTAACAAGTAAAAAAGCGTTAAACTTCTTTTTATTAAATTCAAAACGAAATGTTCTTAGCTACTCTAATGAAGATTAATTGCAATCACTTCGTCAGTTGAAATGGTATTAATTGCAGACAATTGCAGCCGGAGAAGCAATGGCATCACAAAATTAACTTCAACGTGTACGTGAAGCAAGTCTGACCAGGCTATTTGCACAGTTAACACATGATCGTTGACGGTCGGTTTGCCAGCCGGTTAACCAATAACTTAAGCTCCTCTTTTTAAGTTTCTCTTGTTTTTTTTTTTTTTCTTTTCTTTTATTATGGCTACGAGTATGTCATTTACTGTCGCGTCTTGCTATTGAAAATTTACTTAAATATTGTGTTTCACTTTATTAGCTTTTATTTATTTATTTTTATTTTTTTTTTTGTAACGTTGCTTCAAAAGGCTTGCCGTCAGATATTGGTCGGATCAAGTTATTTTCGCAGGTATTGTCATTTAGTATTGTAACTAAAGTGGTATTGAAAAAATGAGATGAAAAATCAAAAGGAATGCAAAGAATTCAATATTTCTGCGGCAAACATATTGAACATAGATATATTTAAATAAAGCTTATCTCACGTTTATAAGATTAATTATTTGGCGGAAATGAATCCTATAAAGAGCTTTCGAAAATGAAAGGGAATATCAAACCCTTACTGCTACAAAAATGGTTTGACAATGAAAATAAGAAACATTTTCACAATCACACTCAATGGCAACAATTTTAGGAAAAATCATGTCTATTCATATCCGAGTAAGTCTGATCACTGGTGACCTATCTAAATGCATAGGCTTTCGATACTAATCTATTATTTCTTTTACTATATTACTGCGCTACTAGTACTCAAACTTTTCATTTTATTTCGCCAACTACGGATGTGATAGGTAAGAAGCACTAATGTCTAAAATCACTTTTACTCAATACACAGTCCCACTGTATTTGGTGCTTGTTAGTCTCACGAAACTTTTTTGTAGACTTATGTCATAATCTGTTTTGGTAAATTTTATTTTCGTCCAAAGACTTTCCCTGGAATTTGGCGACCTTTTCGTTGGAAGTTATCTCCTAAAGCAGATCAACAACTTGCGTTTGTATATTTTTAGAAAAATAGTAATTGGCTTACATTTCACCGAAGTGAAGTGAAGATCGCCTACCAAGATAACCCACATTATTATGGGTTGTATCTTCGCTAAAAGGTTTTTGCTAAGTTACGGTTTATCGCGAAATAAAAAGCAAGCAAGTAAGATAAGCATTCAAATTAAAAAATAATACAAAGCAAGCACATATAAGCAAACTAAGCCTTTAAATACGATCAGAAAAACGAAAAAGCCAAGTCATTGCCCGTAAATCGTATGCAAAATTACAGCGGAAGCATTGAAAGCATGCAGCGCCAAACCGAGTCGTAACAACTTTCAGAGGCATTACGTAACTCCGGGTACGCTTCGAAAAATGCTGAAATCTATCAAAAACCACAAATCTCATCACTATTTGTAGGTCCCGCCATTGCCGAAATCCTCGCTGCCCTCCCCTTATACATAAGACGATAAGTTTTTTATAAAAAATTTTAATAAAGCTAACCTAGTGCATGTCTTTGATATGTTCTAAACGCTTAAATCTACTAGATTAACCTAATTGTCTGTCTGTGCCTTATGCATATGGGGAGGGGAA